CTGAGGCGCAGACAACCAGAAGCTGACCCTTCGTTCATGGAGCCTCCACTCAAGGAGCTGCAGGTAGAAAGCAGTTCCCTGCAGAAAGTGACCTTCCCCTGAAACTCAAAACCAAAACCATCAGCTAGGACATCCTCTGCTCTCCAAATTCTGAGAGTGCCTACACAGACCTGCTGTGACCTGATGTTTGTGTTTCTCCAAAATTCATGTGCTGGAATCCAAACCCCGCCAGGTGATGATACTAGGAAGTGGGGACCTTTTGGGAAGTGATTAAGTCATGAGGGTAGAGCCCTTGTAAATGGGATTAATGTCCTTATAAAACAAGGCCCAAGTCAAGGTGGCTGGATCACCTGAGGTCAGGAGTTCAAGATTAGCCTGGCCAACATGGCAAAACCCCGTCTATACTAAAAATGCAAAAATTAGCTGAGTGTGGTGGTGCACACCTGTAATCCCAGCAACTCAGGGGGCTGAGGCAGGAGAATCGTCTGAACCCAGGAGGCAGAAGTTGCAGTCAACTGAGATAGCACCATTTTACTCCAGCCTGGGTGACAGAATGAGACTCCATCTCGAGGGGAAAGAAAAGAAGGCTCAGAGTCCTAGCTAGTCCCACCCACCATGTGAGGCAGGAATGAGCAGCCAGGAAGAAGCGGGCCCTCATCAGGCCCTGAAGCTGCTGTGCCTTGAACTTGGAATTCCCAGCTTCCAGAACTGTGAGAAATAAATTTCCGTTGTTTATGAGCCACCCAGTTTATGGCACTTTTTTAATAACAGCAAAATGAACTAAAATTAGGTCAAAAACTCAAAAAAGAAAAAAGTTGAATTTCTACAGACAGCAAATCCAGCACAAGTTAAGATCAATCGTGTGATGAAAAATGTCGAGAAGGATTTGGAGAAAACGGAATCACCTCCCCGCAGTGGTGCTCGGCAGAAGTCCCTGGCCATAGCTGAGATGTCTCACTCTCCCCTGAGGCCACACAGCCCATCCAAGTGCACTGCTCTCAGACTCAGACGGCCCATCCCTAGCCAGTGGCTGACTCTCAGCACTGGGTAAGCTAGCAGCTCTGACCTGCCCAGCATTGCTCCTCCCAGGAGACCCACATGCTGTGACACATCCTGACCATTTCAGAGCCTCCAGGAGGGCAAGGGTTGCCCCCAGGTCTTGCAGTCCCTCTGAAGTATCTCCTCGCACAAACTTCCTGTTCCCCTCTTCACTCCCCTGGCTCTGTCTTATCACCCAGGCCAATCTTGCTCATCAAAATTCCTCTTAGGGGCAACCTCTACATCTCCAGATTATACATACTGCTAAGCTGCTTGGAGTGGACAGGTGAGGCCCCTGAAAGAGCAGGTTCCGGATTTGCCCCTAGACCCTTCCTATAGAACATGACTCTGAAGAAACCTTGATTTCAGAACGTCAACCTCCAGAAATGTGAGACAATAAGTTTCTGTTATTCTGAGCCATCTTCATTTGTGCCAGTTTGTCCCAACAGCCACAGGAAGCCAACATACTGCCCTGTTAAGCTGTAACCTCAGCCCAGGTTTGCTGTCCCCTTCACTGTCACTTTTATTGCATCTGGCACTTCCCTGGTGTGGAGTAGGTGCTCAGCAAACATTTGTGGAATGGGTAAGTACGCACACATGGCAGAGAGAAAATATGTGTGATTTTGTAGAAAAACTCTTCGGGGTTAAGCGGTGCCTTTGGAGGCTTTGCAGTGTGGAATCTGTCTTGACACTTCTCAGCACAGACAGTCCTCAGGGAAGACCTGTGCCCCTCCTCACCAGCTCTACTGCCCTTTCACTTCTCCTGTCCCTCAGTCTCTCGCTCCTCCTTATCTAACCACAATCTATGCCAGCAGCTGAGGAGGGAAGTTAGTCCAGATCCCTTTCTGTTCCTTAGTTTAGATCCAGAATTCAGCGAACCCTTTAACTTACTAGAGTCTCTCTAGTAGCTGAAGCTGTATAATTTAAACTTCCCAGTTGAATCATCCTAACAGATAAGGGATCTTTGCAGCCTAAGATAGACAGAATTTTAAAAACAATTCCCAGCAGCCCTCACCCCCACACAACCCCTCCCCTTTGAGTGTCTGGGGAATCGTGAATATAGTGAGATGTGGAACTGGTAATTATATTACGTTCTGGGGCAGAGGGGATTTTGTAGATGTGATTACAGTTACTAATCAGTTGACCTTAATATATACAGATTCTCTGAGTGAGGATGATCTAATCAGACAAGGCTTTTAAGAGCAGAGAAATTTCTAAGGCTGGCGGCAGAGGAGGAAGTCAGAGAGGTTGCAACTGTGAGCAGGATGGGGGCACCCTTGCTGTCCTGAGGATCAAGGACCCACAGGGCAAGGGATGTGAATGGTATCTAGCAGCTGAGAGCATCCCCCAGCCAAGAGCCAGCAAGGAAACAGATCTCAGTCCTACAATTGCAGGGAACTGATGCCTGATGACAACTCGGATGTGCTCAGAAGCAGATTCTTCCCCAGGGCCTCAGGATAAGGGATCAGCCACTCCAACACCTTGATTTTGGCCTCGTGAGACCCCCAAGCAGAGGATCCAGCCAAGCCCATTGGACTTGTCACGTACTAGACTGTGTTATCTGTAGTAATTTGTTAAGCAACTATAGAAAACTAATAGAAAGCCTAATATTTTGTAAGAAGATACAAATCTGTAAAAAGGCATTATTCACTCACTCCAACAAGAGCAGTGAGAGAGTTAAGAACAGCTGCAGAGACGAATGCCAGACCCTCAAGTGGAGTGGGCCAAATGCAGCCTGTGGGCCCAATTCAGGCACCGGCTGTCCCAGTACAGCCCACCAACTAAGAACGGTTATTACATTTGCAAATGGTTAGAAGAAACGCGAAAAAGAAGAATAGTATTTCACAACACATGAAAACTATATGAAATTCACATTTCAGTGCCTACAAATACAGTCGTATCAGAACAAAGCTCATTGACTTACATGCCATCTACAGCTGCTTTCTAACTCCAACAGCAGAGTGGAGTCGTTGCAAAGAGTAGCGTAGCTTGCAAGTCTAAAAAACTTATTATCCGGCCCTTCATAGAAAAAGTTGCCCACCCCCGATCACTAGAGCTTTGCAAAACGCCATTGTGGACCAGATACACTGGGCAGCAACCAACGGAGGACAGAGCTCTGGGCGTTCTCTGCGTGGACAAGCACGGACAGCAAACTGATTCAGGAGGCCTCTCGTGTCTTCTTGGCCACACACTGTCAAGTGGTGTGTGGGAATCGTTTACACACATGCACTATATCCCCTCTATGGAAACAACAATGCAAAACTATTTTACGGCTTCTCAAATAAATGAACTAATTTTTAGATTAGAAATGATTTTAGAATAAAACCACAGCACCCAATATCTGGCCCTCTGTAACTTGTGGTCTCTGTGATAGAGAGACTGACTCTCCATGCAGAACTTTTGGCATCATCTCGTGACAGCTCAGAGTCACTTTAAGTCACTTGGGACAAAAGCCTCAGGAGGTTGACCGGGAAAGGCTGATGACTGAAGGGGTCTCCTCTGAACTCCAAGGGGCCACAGCACCTCTGGGTCCTGACAGCCACAGACTCCCACCAAAGAAATATCTGGGCAGAAGACTAGATTCTCATCAAAGAGCACAGTCTCAGCAAAGTCCAGTCGGTTTTTCTTGAAAGGCTTTCTATTTGATCTCTGTAATTTGACCGTTAATATAGGAATACCGAAATGGAATACTCAGGGGCCAAATCAGGCAGAGAATTAGGTCAGATGTGATTTTCTTGTGCAATCTGAACAAAAGACATTTTATAACCGAAGCCAAAAAAGAAGACGAAAATGACATGGGTAGATAGAGAAAGGCACTCAGAGAAGTGCTTCCTTCATGCAAAATTTCAAGAGGCTTGGTGACAGCCCTGAGAACCTGTCTGGGGATCATTTTATGGAAAAGCAGTCACAATGTTATCAACTGGAAAAGCAAGAAGAATGTTCTGTCATTTTAGCGGGAAAATATCTGCTTGATTTTCCTTGTAGCCACTTTGAAGACCTCTCAACTCAGAAGGGAAATCCACATTCTGACAGATTCCCCATGATTCCCCCCATCAGGTATAACTTCGTCTTCCATCCTCTAGCCACTGACCCACTCAGCCCTTGTGTGGGTACCAGGTATGGAAAGGCTTGGAGCCCTCCCTCCCCCACAGCTGGCAGGGCACCCTTGAGCAGGTCACATCGCCTGCTTCCCTGAGCCTCAGTGTCCTCATCTGCATAATGGGAATGATGCCCAGCCTTGCCTTTTCCCTCTAGCATGATCAGGAGAGTCTGTTGAGACGGAAAAAGCAAAGAAAGCTAAACAAATGGGAGCCATTCTTGTATTTGTCACTGAGCTTCACAAGATGATGACCAGAAAGCACGTCTGTGTGTGTTTGTGCACAAGAGCACAGTCTTTCTCCTTAATCTAAAAGGCAAATATATCCACATGAAGCAAAGGGCTGGCTGTTCAAGGCATAGAGACGAAGCGCATTTTCTAGCCACCGCCACACCTCCCACCCACAAGGAAAATTTAAAGGGTTTTGAATCCATCCCATTCCGTTTTTCCGCTGTTGCAAAGTGGATAGAGTTCACAAAACAGAACTATATTGACACAATCTCCAAACTAAAACAGAGAGAGATACTGCTGGGGAGAGGGGCAGAATGCTGAAACTCCTTCATGCTGAGGGTTTATATCAACCCAGAGGACCTTAAACGCATTCGCTCTGGAAAACACCAGATACAAAGGAGGGCCGAGCTCCCTGCTTTGCAGGGATACTGGGGGCTTGGCCCAGGCCGAGTTCAGGACTCTCCTCTGAAAGAGCAACACAGAATTCCCCTTGGCAAGTGCTATTGTGGGCTTGCCTCAGCTAATATCGTATGAATAGAGATGTTTTAAATGTATTAAACATTGGTCCCTTTTTTAGAAATTACACTGACAGAGCCTTCCTTAAACATTATTTGAATAAAGCCTCATTACTCACAGTCCAGAGAAGTTCATTAGGAGGAGATCGCTTTGGAAAGGAACCGAGGAGCTCGCCTTTCTTCTCAGCAGTGAATTACATTAGCTACTTCCTAGTTATTTAAATCTTGAAATAAAAGATGTAAACGCTACAGTGACATCTTAAGATCATTGCGAAGGCAGGTCTTGCATGCACAAAAATGCCCAGCTGGTCTGCAGATAAAACAGATTGATAATTAGTTGTAAAATGTAACATTTCATCAAGAATATTTTGAATAATCCAATTTATCTTTGTCAGATATGCAGCACATATTTTTCCGGGGAGCAGCTTTGTTCTTTAACATAATATTATAATTTCAGGCTGCTAATGAAGGCGCCCGCCGGCCGGCCGGGCCTTGATGTGTTGCGTGGCGGGGAGCGCGCCGCGGCCCCGGGACCCGTGCGCCTGAGCGTGCCGCGCCCCGCTGCCGCCACCTGCCCAGCACAGCGCGGGCTGCGGGCTGCGGGCCGCGGGCCGTGGGCGATCAAAGGGCCGGCGGGCTGCGGGGAGGGCGCCCCTGGCGGGAGGTGTACTGGCCGCCGGCGGGCGGGGGCTCCACCGACTCCGGCTTCTAATTAACCGATGGAAACGCGCGCTCCCTGCCCGCGACCGCGAAGGCGAAGTCAGGCGGCGGGCGCGCGTGCAGGCTGGGGGTGTGGCTGCTGGGGCGCGGGCTTCCCCAGGGGGCGCGTCCGGGGTGCAGCCTGCGTGGCCTTCCCCGGAATAGCAAAAGAGATGGGGGGTGGGGAGCGGGAGAAGAGGGACAAGGGTGGCTTGCAGGACTTGGGAGGGGCTGCAGGTACATCTAGAGCTCCGCGGACCCCAGGAGCCCGGAGACAACTAGGGCCACGTGCTGGTTGAGCTTTCCTGGGGCACTTTGGCACTTTACATAAGGCCTATTGGACACGGATAAATGAGAACTGCTTGGCATTTGCGCGGAGAGCCCCAGCGCCCGGCCCAGAACGGAGCCTCCCCTAAGTCCCAGAGCGACCCTAAAGGCTCTCCCAGAGGCCTGGGTCGAGATGAGCAGAAGCGCCCTCATTCACATCCTCCAGTGACGCCACATTGCCCATGTTTCACCACACAGGCCCGGAAGAGGGTGTGGCTGGATGGAAGAAAAGTCTCGTCACAACTTGGAAAATTCGCTCCCGTCTTCTACAAGGCGCATGAAGTTTGGCGAAGCAGAGAAAACTCCAGGTCTAAAGAAGGCCCTCAGGCTGTGTGCACACGCTGTATGTGCGCACAGTGTCTTTTATTCTAAATGTGCCATTTTAGCTGCGTGTGTGCAAACCTCACACCACTGTTAGGCCCGTGCTGACGTTGCTTGGTGATATTTGGTAGTCTCAAAAACAAATTGAATTCTAGCCCCAGGATTAAAGTTCGTTGTCTGGAAGTTCCGAAATGGTCAACAAGAAATGGGTGCTGCTCTCCCCGTCTGCGTTGGAAAAGACAAGGCTGCCGGTGTTCCCAAAGCCTCCAGGACACAGATGGCCTCTGGGCGTCCAGGATACAGGCAGTGGTTACCACGCTACCTGGTCAGAAGGTCTAAGAGTGAACTTGAGTGGATTCAGAAAGTTCAGAACACTTTGGAAAATGAATCTGTTCACAAGACCAAACCGCTTGGCTCACTGGAAGACTACCACATCAGCAGGACTCCTCTTTACCCGGCTATTTCTGCTCCTGCAGTGAAGGGCTGCCTTCCCTGTTTTCAGGTACATGACAGTCTCAAGGATCATGGTCAGCACGTTAGGCTGAGTATATTGACTTGAACCTCTCCCAACACCTGCAGCCCTTACAATGCATTAGGAACGTAATTCAGCCTGAAGTGGGTGTGCTCTTGACATGGACCGACGGACCAAGCCGCTCCTTCATGCTTTGGCTCCTTCAGGGTGGTGTTGCAAGTCTTCGGGGATGATTATCTGCCGTATCCAGACTTGAAGGTCAGTCCAACGGGATCTCTTTTTCAAGCCACCTTCTCCTGGGTAAACTCTGGCCGTGTTTGGTTTTTCTGAGCCTCCTGACCTGCTAATGCTCCCCATGAATTTCTCATTTTCTTCTGTCCTCTGCTTCTCCATGGGCTACCCAGACCCCTGGAGCTATAGACCTCCCAGTAACCCCAATGGACGGCCAGGGGGCCAGTGTACCTTCAGGCTCCCTGCCTCTCCCCACCTGCCCTGCACAGCCACCCTTCTCTTCCTGGCCCTGCAAGGGACTCCTCTGAGTACAGAGGATAAGGGAACAAATGCGTGTCCTGGCCATTGACATTCTGTGCTGGCTCCTAGAAGTAGCTGATAGCCCCTCTTCAGGACCCTCTTACTGGCACACAGGCCTTTGGGGACCTAGCCAGGCCCCATGGCCAGATGCATAGGTTCTTCAGAAGGCAGCCACCCTGAGCTTCTTTGAAGGAGACCATCAGAAACACTGGGAAAACCCACTCACTTTCTCTCAGAGCTGTTCATGTCAGCCATCTCTTCTCCAAGAGCGAAGAGCTATTTTAACAAACCCATGAGAGGGCAGCCCTGCAGCCTGCTCCCAACTTCAGGACCAGGCAGGGACCCTGAGATGGCCCACCCTGCACCCCCCTCTGTCAAGTATGCACTTCCTTGCTGGCAACCCCATTATACCATGGTTGGCTCTGCCCAGCTTCATGCTTCACCAGGTTGGGTGACTCTTTGGTGTCCCATGGGCTCAGTCATTGAGCAGACACCCACTGGATGGGTATTGACCTAACCTGCTCTGGTTTGCTCTGGGGCCAACAGACCAGGGACAGATGCAAGCTGGCCCAGCCAGCTCCCATTCAGGACCATCCCAACACACACCAGAATGGCACAAATGGGAACCCACTGACCCTCAGGCTCCTGAGAGGTGAGAGTCACCCTTGCCCAGAACAGGCAGAAGAGCCATATGCCATCAGCAGGTCCCTGTCCCCAAAAGGCAGACATCAGAGAGCAGGGCATGACTGCTTCCCATGAGTTTTGCCCAGGAAGGGTGTCCCCTCTGTCTTCCTGTCTTTCCCCAGTTCCCTGCCCTGCTCAGAAGCCTACAGAGACTCCACAGCTGGCATCTAGAGCAAGTGTTAAGGTTAAGCTGCACGTGACTTCCCCAGTCACCTGGTCGTCATTGTCTCTCCTAGATGAACCCTTGTTTGAGAAGAGCCAGCCTACCCACTGTCCCAGGCTCCCCTACCAGGGAGGGCCTCCTCTCCTCTCTCAATCAAGAAAGCCAGGCTCAAACGCCCATCTTCCACACAACACTTGGGGGTCTCAGTACCACAGTGTCCCCTCAGCACTGGCACACAGCACTTTCAGCTACTCACTTTCAGGCACAAGTCTGTCATATAACTTCCTCTGGGGCCCAGGACTTGTAGTGCACACACGCATGCCCACCCTCTTCCTGTACCCAATGCAAGCACAGAACAGCACTCAGTGGGCATTCACTAACGACTCCTTGTCTCTGTCCTCCTAGGCCATTCACATGGGAGGAGGCCCAGCCTGTGACCCGGGAGCACTCTTGGTGGGTAGAGCCAGGAGGTGCTGGATACAAGCCTGAAGTCTCATGCATCTGCCTGTTGATCGATTGGACTCACTTTGAGGTTGAAAATTATTCAAACTGGAGCTTGGCTTCAGATAGGGACAGAGACCTTCATCATGGTCATCAGCTCTGGTGTGCAAAAGAGAAAGTCAAAGAGACCCAGAGAATGCCTGCAGCAGGGGGGACCCCACGACACAGAGCCTGCTCTCCCAAACACACTGTGCCCATTGCTCCTGGTGGCAGTTCTGCTGCTGCCATGTTACGGGGAGAGGGTCTCAGCTGCTTCTCTGCAATCTCATGAATGTGGCTGAATGGGTCAGGATCAACTCAGGCTTCTGTATGACCCCGGTATGACCCAGAACCCCAAATACAGTCACGTACCGCATAGCAATGTTTCCGTCGATGATGGATCCCATACACCATGAGGGTCCCCGAAGATTAGAATGGAACTGCAAAATTCCTGTCACCTGGTAGCGTAGTAACCGCCACGTGTTTGTGGTGATGCTGGCTGCATCACCTACTGCTCTGCCCGTCATAGAACTAAGTCTAGCACATGAAATTATGCACAGGACGTAATACTTGATAACGATAATAAATGACTTACCACACTATACTTTGTATTGCTATTTTAAAGTATACTTTTTTTTGAAACAGTGTCTCCCTCTGTTGCCCGGGCTGGAGTGCAGTGGCGCAATCTCGGCTCACTACAACCTCCGCCTCCCAAGTTCAAGCAATTCTCCTGCCCCAGCCTCCTGAGTAGCTGGGACTACAGGCGCTCACCACATGCTCAGCTAATTTTTGTATTTTTAGTAGAGATAGGGTTTCACCATGTTGGACCAGGATGGTCTCAAACTCCTGACCTTAGCTGATCTCTCTGCCTTGGCCTCTGAAAGGGTCGTGATTACAGGCATGAGCCACCACGCCTGGACTTTTTTTTTTTTTTAAGTTAACTGTGAAACAGCCTCAGTGAGGTCCATCAGGAGGTGTTCGGAAGAAGGCACTGTTGTCCTAGGAGAGGGCAGCTCCATATGTGTTATTGCCCCTCACACCTTCCAGTGGGACAAGACGTGGAGGTGGCAGACAGGGATGCTGGGACTCCTGACCCTGTGATGGCCTAGGCTAATGTGTGTCTCTGCATCTTTGTTTTTATCAAAGCAGTTTGAAAGTTAAAAATGTTTAATTTAAAAAGGGAAAAGGCTTGCAGAATAAGGATATAAAGAAAATGTTTTTGTACGGCTACACAATGTGTTTGGGTTTTAAGCTGTATTATAGGAGTCCAAAAGTTAGCAAAAACTTTTTAAATTTATAAAGTAAAAAATGTGGCCAGTCGCAGTGGCTCACACCTTGGGCAATCCCAGCACTTTGGGAGACTGAGGCAGGAGGATCATTAGGTCAAGAGATCCAGGCCATTCTGGCCAGCGTGGTAAAATTCCATCTCTACTAAAAATACAAAAACTAGCTGGGCGTGGTAGCATGCCCCTGTAATCCCAGCTACTTGGAGGCTGAGCCAGGAGAATCGCTTGAACCCGGGAGGCAGAGGTTGCAGTGAGCTGAGATCGCACCACTGCACTCCAGCCTGGCAACAGAGCCAGACTCCATCATAAAACAAAAAGGTAGATACTACAGTAAAAATTTACAGTAGGCTTATTATTGAAGAAAGAAACATATTCTTATAAATGTAGTACAGCCTGAGCGTAAAGGGCGAAGCATACAGGAGCAGGTAGTCATGTCCCAGCCTTCACATTCGCTCACTCACTGACTCACACAGAGCAGCTTCCAGTCTTCAACACTGCAGGCCCCGTTCATGGTAAGTGCCCTACACAGGTGCACCATTCTATCTGTCATACGATATTTTTACTATACGTTTTCTGGATTTAGCTATGTTTAAACGGATACCACTGTGTTACAATGGCCTACTGTATTCGGTACCATCGCATGCAGTACCAGCGTGGCCCAGAGCAGTGGGCTGTGCCTCTAGCCTAGGTGTGTGGCGGGCCTTACGTCTAGCCTAGGTGTGTGGCGGGCTGTGC